GAGGCCCACCGGCCGGCAGCGTTGCTGCCCTCCCCTCCCAGGAGCAGGGGAAGCACTCGGCGGAGGAAGCTGTGCAGCGTTTCCTTCCTTTCTCACCAGCCCCTGCGGAGGCCTTGGGACCTGGGCTTGGCGGTGGGAACCGCAGCTTCGGGTTGTGGGAAGGAGACCCTGCAGGCCTGCGGGGACCCCCAGGAGCCACTTAGGACTAGGGCTGGGACCCAGCTTGGGAATTCCCCGGCCGAGGTACCCTGTGCGCACCCACTCGCTCTCTGCACACACCCGGGCCACCCACACAATGGCTGAGCAAGCCCCGCAAGACAGCCCTGAGCAGCCCAGAGCCCCCCACCCCCACCCTTCCCTGGGACTAAGGGAGTGCCGACCCTCCCACAGCCCCGGGCAGGGGGAGAAGAGGAGCGTCTCCTACTTCCTCTCAACCACGCGGCCCTCATGCTCCCTTTCATCAAAGGAGATGGCACGGAGCTGATGGCTTTGGGGCTTGGGCTCCCCAAGCGTCCCCTGTGCCTCCCAGACCTGAGCAGACCTGGGGGCAGGGCAGGAATGGGGCCTCGCGGGTCCATCTTGGGGCCAGCCCTTCCCTCCTGAGGGTCAGTGTGCACTCGCTTACTCTCACCCTCCTGCCTCTTCCTAATGAAATTTGGGAATGTGTCCAGTAAACACATTGACCTTGAAGAGTCAGGGCTGTGCAGGCCGCCCCAGGCAGACCCATTCTGTAAGTCAGCACAGTGGTGACTCTCAGACAGCCAGATGGCAGACCAGGGAGGTGTGAGCTGGGCCTTCTCACTCTCCAAATCCATGTAGATCCTTCAGTCGGGTTGGGGGCTGTCAGTGGGGAGTAGCACATCTGAGGGTCAGGGCTGCCTGTGAGCACTCCAGGGACCAGAGCATGAACTTGAGAATCAGACTCAGGTCCTGGTTCAGGCTCTCCTGAGCTGTGTGATGTTGGGCCAGCTGCTCAGCCTCTCTGAGCCTCAGGTCCCTCCTCTGTAACTGGTGCTGTTGGGAGGATGAACTGAGATAACACTTGGCAAGGTGCCCGGCCAGTCAGCAGCACCTGGTGCGGATGGTGGGGCACCCTGGGAAGGACCCACGGACCTGGTCCCTCACCCGGCGGGAGGAACCCTGGCCCTGGATAAAGAAAATGCTGGCAAACAGTGTCCTGGTCCAGTGGCGAGACCACTGGGCCATCCCCAGGGGGCCATGCCTTTCGCTCTGCAGATGCAGCAGGCACCCTTTGGGATCGCTCACTCTCAGAGCCAGGCCGACACCCTGCCATCCCTGGCACTCAGATCAAAATCCAGTCCCCAGGAGTGTCTGTCCTTCATGGCTTATGGCCAGCCTCACCTCAGCTCAGCTTTCGGAACCAACTTACTTCGAAGAACAGGAGCCATTGCCAGGCCAGCTGGAAAATTCGGAACCACAGCCCCTCAGCACCCCATGCTGGCTGGTTGATGGCAAGGAGTGCTCCAGACTTGCCCAGCCCTCAGGCCCATTCCCTGCCACAGGTCAGACAAGGAATTTCCTGGGGTGCCCAGTCCAGGCACGGGGGTGGGGGGTGGCCTCTTGAAGGGGATCCTGGCACCTCATTCAGCCTCACAACTGCCCAGCCTATAGATCACATTAGCCCATTTCACAGGTGAGTCACTGAGGTCCAGAGAGCCCTGCTATGGCTGAGCTGGGCCCAGGGCCTCCCCCAAGCCCAGGCTCCTCCTTACCGTCGGTCGCTGCCGATGTCCTCAGCCTCTGACATCCAGACCCCAGGCAGCCCGGGGCTGTGTGGGTCAGAGAACTTGGGACCAGGGGCCTGGGCCGAGGCCCCCAGCAGCCCCCAGCCCAGGGGCCCCCCGAGGCTGAGCAGCAGTGTCAGGATCATCTTGGCAGTGGGCAGGCTCAGCCGTTGCCGGTGATTCCAGAAACTGCTTCAAGTGAAGGCTCAGAAGGAAGAGAAGGCTGGGACAACAAAGAAAGGAAGTGGCCTAGGCCGGCCCACCGGTGCGTCTGGTCCAGCCACACACACACACACACACACACACACTCCCCACCCCCCGCCAGAGGCAGTCAACAGCCCAGCTGGTTCCCGGCCTGAGAGGACTTGTGTCAGGGACCCTGAGGTTTGGGAGGCCCACGCGTGGTAGACAGTTACAGACATGAGCAGAGCAAGGACGATGGGCCAGGTACAGGTCACCAGGCGGGAACCCTGGGTGCCAGCAAAGGACAAATGTAGGGGGACTCGCCCCAGGGTGACCTATCCTCCCCTGGCATGCGGTGACCTGTCCTCGATGGAGGTAACACCCAGGTCTCAGTTGTGTTTCAGCTCCAGGCCCAGAGAGGCAGCAAAACCAGACAAGTGACACCAAGGCTGCCCTCAGGACCAGCTGGATAGTGACCAATCAGTGGAGACCTAGGCTGAAAGGACATGTCTGGAAAGCTGCTGGATCTTCTATTGAGACATTCCCCCGGGACCTTTCCTAAAATCTCACCCTTAGAGCCCCTCGGATGGAGGGCCCAGCGCCTCTCCCTCCCTCCTGGGAGCAGCGAGAGCCTTTCCCCTCTTCTTCCTCCCCCTCTTCACCCCTGCCTTCCTCACTCCCAAGCTCCAAGGGCCCTTCCTTTGCCTCTATAACTCATTTCTTAAGCCCATTTCGTCTACGAATTACTTCTTCCACCTCTGTGATTTTATAAATAAATGTCCTCTTATAGTTTGGGTCTTGGCTCTGAATTCTTTCCTAGCCCAAACTCAAGTACCGAGGTTGCCAAACCCAAGTCCCATCGGACCCGACCTGGTGCCATTCCTGCTGCACAAGGAGATGTCCCCACTCGCCATGTCCCATGGAGTCAGGAGAGCACAGGGTCGAGGTGGGGCTACAAAAGGCCGTTGGTGAGTCTCAGGGAACCTGCTATGCATTCATGCTGATGGCCAGCAAGTGGGGAGCACTTCACCCCTGCTCAGCGCCTGTCACCCTGAGGAGCCAGCAGGTGGGGAGAGGCTCAGGGGGGAAGGGAGCTGTCTGAGGGCCACAGTGTGTCACCAGAGGCCAGGGCATGGGCAAGCCTTCGTGGGCCCCATCCCAGCTCCTCCATGTAACTGTGCCACAGCAGGACGGGGCTCCCTTCTGAGTGGCTGGGCAGCCCCGGCCGGTCTGGAAGGCTGGCCACTCTTGCCTGACAGGCCTGGGTGGCCCTGACCCTTACCCTACCTGGGTGCTGGGAGCAAAGGCTCCTTCCCTCATGGCCCAGATGTCACAGACACAACAGCCCCAGGCCTGGGAGCACCTGGCCAGGGTGGCCCTGCGGGGGTTAGGGCAGCGAGTGAATGAAAGGCAGTGATGGCTAAGGATGCATCCAGACCGCTGCAGCCCCTCTGCGGAAGGCAGGGCAGGAAAGGAGGTGAAGCCGGCCGGGGCCCAGGGGACCTGGACCCTGCTGCCAGCCTCTATTCTCTCTCCCTCCCTCCCTCCCTCC